GGCGACACTAAGCCTGGCAGGAAGAAGGCCCTCGTGCACACACAGGCTGACAGCTCCCAAGGCAGCTTTTCAGGCTGAAATGATGGTATCCCTTGCCAAAAGTCTGACTCTGCTCCCTGACTGAGATGCTCCCGTTTGGACCTGTTGCAGAGCTCTCTTCCCCTATCAAACACCCCATCTAGTAATCACCCAGAATTGGGCACGTCCTTAGAGCAGCATGAGAACAGAGTAATACAGGGGCCTTTGCGCGGTAATAGATGAACTTAGAATTGAAACTTCCTTTGCTAATAAAGTTGTAATAGCATCTTGAATGCCATTTGGAATGCACTGATGATCATTCCGCTGATAGCAGCTTCTCTAACCTAGCTGCTGAATTTAGAAGCCGCAGCTGCCTTGCTGCACCACACAGCCACGGAGTAAAATCAAAGACAGTCGGAAGACACTATATTGCAAGATGCAAAAAGTATTGAGAGTTCATCTTTATAGCCAATGGTGGCTGACACAGCGGAGTCTCTCCATTTGAAAGAGATTGATTATCTTCATTCTTTTGCTTTGTGTGATCACCAGCAAAAGTGTTTCTATGATCAAGATGTGGCCGGCAATTTTGCTGATGTTATATAAGCAAGCAGCATCCAGTTTGTGTCTGAGTCCCCCATCTGCATCTACGTTGGTGCTGCATTGTGACCAGAAGGAAGGACATGGGCAGGTGAAACTGACGACAAGCAGGAAGAAACCACCTCGCCCAAGAACTCACAACATTTCCGCCTATGTAATCTTACACAACTCCAACCATGGAAGTTTCCGCCTCTGCAGAGATTCCCTTCTTACTGTATCAAGTTTGTGCTCCTGAATATCTGGCTAGAGTCAGAGCCTGCCAGCTTTAAGTGGGATAGCATCCATTAAAATTTCAGTCATCGCTAAGCAATCAATTGCATAGCGTGCTACCCTGTCACCTGACATCTGGTTCACTTTGTAAATCCTTAAGAAGATACTTGCAGGAACCTCTCCTCATATCCTAACAAGAAAAAAGTCAAGAGTTCTTATTTTATTCCTTCCATTATGGAATTAAATGACTCTCTTCCTCCATCTTCTTCCAACTCTCATCTTCCCTTTAGGACTCTTTCTTCTATACCTGTGATTTTTCCCCAACCGGCGGCAACCTTATAGTCATACAGTATTTGAATTCTTCATTACGGCATTTCACATATTGTTTTATTTGATCTGTACAAAACAGTATGTGACAGATAAATTATTATTCTCTTGATTTTACAAATGAGGACAGTCAGGCTCAAAATGGTTAAGGGACTTGCCTAAGTTACGTAAGTGAAGAACCATCTGTGTCAAATTACAGCTCTCTTCCTAGCACGTCCAGTAGACTCCAATAAAACTGCCCTACCTTTCTAAGTGTCAATAAAACCGTATTCAAACACTGACACATTCTTGGATATGATCAAGAAAGTGGGACAGCAAAGCTGAACATTTATACTTAGTACGCCAGGCAGGCCGATAAACTGTCACCAACTTGAGTGAACAAGCGTGCTAATGCAGAACTCTCAGTAACAATGTTACCGTGATGCATGGTGTAACAGTAAGTTTTAAAGAATAATCATTTTCCTCCCCTTTTTCCTGCAAATTTAATATATCTTTTTTTGTTCCTTTTCTGGGCATGTTGTTTGTTTTGTTTTCCATTTGATTCTTTATTTCTGGATGAAGCTATTAACTGACTTCCAACCAAAAAAAATACCTAAAATGTTTTCTTTCATAGCAAAGACAAGTCAATGTCTAAAACAGTTATTTAGAAAGGTCATTTTAGGACAAATTTGCAGAGATTATGGCAGCCTCTTGAGGATCTGGGAACCAGGAAGCTAGGAAAATACCAAACTAATTTCAGTGGTAACTCGATCCTCTTGCCTCCCATTCCAGAAATGGCTACACATTATTAAACGCCAGCAATGATGAGCAGACAATTCCCTGGGCACTTTGGAGTTCCCATCTTTAACAACTTTGCAAAGCAGGAGTGTCCATGTTGCATAGAGGCGGAACAGGAGTTCTGAGAAGGAAGTAACTTGTGCGGGCCATTCAGATAGGAAGTGGTTATCCCAGGTTTTGAAACTAGGTCACGTCGGCTTCCAGAGTCAGTATTCCTCCCCTACATCTTCCCAGATAGAATCCTGCTACTGATCAACTTGCCGTAACTGTCAGCAAAGCTATTTTCAGCAACGGTTCAACTTCTCCACACGAGAGCAGGCTCATCAAATGAGAGAATGCACAGAAAAGTTCTGAAGCGATGTTACTATCATTAATGGAAGATCTAAGGGAAATTTGCAAAACCAAAATAATCAAATCTCGCCTACTGTGTCATCTTGGGACCCCATCACCTTTGCAAAGCTGGCCAAGTTTAAGTTTTCTGGGGTATTCCCTCCTTAAATGGGGGTACCAGAGCAACACTGCCTCTGATGTGAGTTGTGGCTGGCATAATAGATAAAATGTGTGCTTAAAAGATTTTTGTGAAGGAAACTGAAGAGTTAGGCCAATCTCTTTTTTAGTGAATTTCCTCTTGATCACAGGATTGAATAGGTACTTAAAGTAATAGACACTTTATAAATTAACTTCTAACAGATATTTTGAAAATTAAATTATAGTAGGAGGCAAGCAATCAATTAGCAATCAATACATACCCAATAGTCATGCATAAGATGAAAAGGCAATTCGTTAATAAAAAGCGAGACATAAAAAAGCTTATCGGGGTCCGCAGTGGCTCCGGCCAGATGTTGTGGCGCTTGCGGAGGCGAGGCCATGAGTTCAAGGCCAACCTGAGCAACCTTACAAGCTCTCATTGATTGGCAAAAAAAAAAAAAAGCTTATCAATCTTGCTAATCATCAGAGATATGTAACTGTAAGTGATACTTTTAAAAAATTCTAAATCTCAAGTTTGGCAAGGACGCTGGGCAAAGGAGCATTCAAATCAGTACAACCTTCCAGGGCAGTCTGACAAAACGAATCAAGATACTAAGGTTTGGGAGCAAATCACTGGATTCAGCGATTCCACTTCCACAAAATAAAACTATAGTAGAGTCACGGATGGGTACAAACCTTTAATTACAAAATGTGCTTCTCCATTCCGTAGCTATTAAAAAGCTGGAATCCACCCAAATGTACCATACTGGGAGAAGAGCTGGAACCACATAACGGAATACTACGCAGCCATTTAAGATGTAGCGTATTTAGCAACACAGAAAGATACTCACAATTTATAGCTAAATGGAAAAATCACAAAAGCAGGGAAAACATGCTTAGAATCATATATGCTAATTAATAGTACACTTCTAATTGGTAAAAATTGTTTTTTTTAATCTTTTAGTCTTATTTTATTTTCATTTTCTAAATTTTCCATAATGCAAGTCAATCACAATAATCTTTAAAATAATTATTATATTAAATGAGAAGGCCTATCAAGCTAATCTAGAGTAACACCTGGCATTATATAAGAGCTTGACAAATGCTACCTCCCGTTCCCCAAGATTTATTCCTCAATACTTATTTTGTAATCATAACACCAAAGGGGTTTTGGTAAAGGAAGCTTCAGTTTAATAAAAAAAAAAATGTTTTTTGGTAGAGATGGGGTCTTGCTATGTTGCCCAGTCTGGTCTCAAACTCCTAAGCTCAAGCAATCCTCCTGCCTCAGTCTCCCAAAAGGCTGGGTTTACAGGCGTGAGCTACTGTGCCCGCGTCAAGCTTCAGCTTCCGAATCCAGGATCAACATGGAGTCCAGAAAACACATCGGCCGTGGTCCTCCCCGTAGATGCCACTCCCAGCACTGGCCGCACACAAAGGAGCCTTCACGGGTTTAAATAAAGCCATTTTTTCCAAACTCAAGATTAACGAAAGTGAATAAGCTGCTCGAAACAGCTCCTACTGGACTGTGTGCTGTTATTCCTCCCAGCAAGATGGCGGCATGTACAGAGGAAGGGGCCCCAGGCATGGAGTCAATTACCCTCTGCTCTACCGTGCAGGCACCTACTCCACAGAAAGCTGTATGGTCCCAGTACATCACCTCACCTCTTTGCACTTCCCTTTTGACACCATCACAAGACAGCTGTAAGCACTGCGGTGAGAATTCAATATGACAAGAACGGAATCTTCATCAATTTTAGAGCACTATCCATATAAGACAATATTGTAATCTATAAATATTAATCTGCAACAATTAAATACATGTTAGAGGTAAGTGTAAAAACGAAAAGCATTGTATTAGCTTTAACTTCAGTTTCTGTGCAACCACAGGAGAAATCTGATTCTGATTTTGTTCCTCTTTATATGAAATAAACTTTATACAAAAGGCTTAGCTCCGTTCATCCGGCTTGTTACCCTTCGCCTAGGAAGAACTAGTAACAACACCGAAATATGAGCTTCCTCCTTGCCCGCCATCTCTCTGTCTTTCGTGCACACCATGTCATCAGATGACCTCTTGGAGTCTAGTGAAGAAACCTTGTTTTGCTTTCAGAGAGCACCATCTGAATATGGCTTCTAACAGGAAGGCTCCAAAAATCACAGAAAGTAAAACCACCAAGCAACACAGCCTGGAAAGCAAATAACTCAAAGACTTAGAACAATTAGATTGAAACCCTATCGCACCACACAACCCTTCCTACGTACCCCATCCCGTAAGGCTTGCGTAGACTGACACCAGCACTTTATGAAATGTACTGTTACTTATGAAGCCAAAGGGAGATCACAAATGTAGGCAAGAAATAAACACGAGCTATTGGACTTGCTTTTTGATCCAGCTACTGGTGCCTTAATCTAAGAGATCTTTCCAAGAAGGCCTCCTAGTGACCCAAACGTCTTTTTGGAGAAGGCTGAGGATTCATATCTGCTCATGGATAGGCTACAAAAGTCCAAGAAGGGCTGCGTCATACCAAATAGGCAACAATGGAGGGGCTTCCACTGTCGGCATCTCATTTATTATGAAGTCTATAATAACTCCCAGAATAGCCATCTAGTTTTAACAATTTATTTGATAAACAAATACATTTGCATATAAACAACCAAAACATCTTGACTCTGGTGAAACAGTTTTGCAATGTTACAAATATATTTGCAATGTTTTTCAGGCTCTTGCATTTTTGAAAAAGTTGCTGAGAAAAAAAAATTATAAATAAAAGTATATAATATAGCATATTCTTTTCTGTCCCCGTTTAAAGATTTGAAAATAAGCAGTTTTCTAAAGCCAAAGTGTGTTCTTTTCCAGGCCAAAGTTCTGTTTGACAGCTCAAGTATGCGATTAATGGGCTGCCTCGAACCGTAATTACAGAGCCAAAATAAAAATTACCCTCCTTAAGACTGTACACGGAGAACACTGGCTATCGGCTTCACATTGAGTAGCTAGTTTAACAGGATCCCTCTTACTTAAAAAACATACTGTACTGAGCCCAAAAGGACATGTTTTCTTCTAGAGCAAGAATGTCCCACTAATAAACAATTTAATTACAATAAATTATGTAACACTGGGTAAGGCCGGGGGCAGGGGCAAGGGAAACTATATTCTTTAGAAAAAACATAGGGTCGAGGATGCGGTGGCTCACAACTGTAATCCCAGCACTGTGGGAGGCCAAGGCGGGTGAATCACGAGGTCAGGAGTTCAAGGTTGGTCTAGCCGAGATGGCGAAACCGTCTCTATTAAAAGTAGAAAAATTAGCCAGGCATGGTTGCTGACTCCTGTAATCCCAGCTACTCGGCAGGCTGAGGCAGAGAACTTCTTGACCCCTGGAGGCAGAGGTTGTAGTGAGCCAAGATCGTGCCACTGCACTCCAGCCTGGCCGACAGAGCAAGAGTCCGTCTCAAAAAAAAAAAAAAAAGGAAAAAACATAAGGTCACCAAGGCATTGAAAATGAACCTTAAACAGAGGTATTAATATGTAAATATTACAATTTCCACTTAGGGAAAAAAAATCATATTATTGCTAGGCCAGCACACTCAAAATCAATAATATCATGAAAACACATGCCCTTGTGTGATTTGGCAGAATGGCAGCACAGCCTGCTTCCCTGAATACAATGGCCCTTTTCACTAAGGTGATCCCTTCATCCCTGCCATTTTATACAAACAAAACAAGAGACAGAGGAAAAGAAACAAACATGACACTAGTAAGAGTCTTCAGTTTGAACTCTATCGCAGAGAAGTATGAGACCTCAAAGACATGCTAGAAAAGTAAAAGACATTATTTAACAAAAATGAAAGCAAGATGGACTGGAAGGAAGAAAACTATATTGCGATGCTAACCTCTTTTGTTTAATTATATCAAAGGGCAACAGAGCCCTCTAGTGGAAAAAAAATAAAAACATTTAAAGACGTTTCTGCTCTTAAAGAAAACAAACAGGTAGAATACCACCGGGCATGGTGGCTAATGTCTTTTATCCCAGCACTTTGGGAGGCCAAGGTGAGCAAACCACCTGAGGTCAGGAGTTCAAGACCAGCTAGGCCACCATGGCGAAACCCCACCTCTACTAAAAATACAAAAATTAGCAAAATTAGCCAGGCAGGGTAGCTCACGCCTATAATCCCAGCTATTCAGAAGGCTGAGGCAGAAGAACCACTTGAACCCAGGAGGCAGAGGTTGCAGTGAGCTGAGATCATGCCACTGCACTACAGCCTGGGTGACAGAGTGAGACACCGTCTCAAAAGATAAAAGAAACTATGTAGAAGACTGTCTTTCATTACAAATTCTTACTGTGTCACTATATAATGCAAAAGCAAAAGATCAAATTATTTTAATTGGGTTTTAAGTAAAACAAGTTCCAAATTTTCAAACTTTATGTAACACTACAAGACCTCAAGTAGAACAAAAATGTCTTATTAGTTTTTAAATTATGAGTTCGAACCACTTCGTCATTGAACAATAGTTTGTATGACCCTCATTTGTTATGCTGACGCTACAAAAAAGCAATTAAACTCTAAACCTACATACAAGCAGGACATTAACTGATGACCTCATGTGACGAAAAAAGTTCCAGATGAGATCTAATCAGGTTCACACAGACAGTAGCCCCCTTATCCTCGGGAGAGGAGTTCTAAGACCCACATCGATGCCTGAAAAACTGGACAGTGCCAAACCCCTGTGTGTTCTACATTTTCACCTATACATACACACCTAGAATAAACATTAGGCACAGTAAGAGATCAGCAACAATAAGAGAACAACTATAACAACGTACTGTGTGAAAGTTATATAAATGTGGCCTCTCACACACACTCTCTCTCGAAATTAGTACTTTCAGATGCCTGTTGACCTCAGGTAACTGAAACCTCAAAAAGTGAAACACCGTCCTGGCACGCTGGTTCACAGCCGTAATCCTAACATTTTGGGAGGCTGAGGCAGGCAGATTGCCTGAGCTCAGGAGTTCGAGACTAGCCTGGGCAACATGGCGAAACCCTGTCTCTATTAAAAACATTAAAATTAGCTCGGCGTGGTGCTGCGCACCTGTAATCCCAGCTACTCAGGAGGCTGAGACATGAGAATCACTAGGATCTGGGAGGCAGCGGATGCAGTGAGCAGAGATTGCACCCCTGTACTCCAGCCTGCGTGACAGAGGACTCTCTCAAAAAAAAAACGTCAAAGACCATGGATAAGGGGGCACTACTGTGTATGTGATTACAAATCTATTTTTAAAAATGTATGTATACAGATACACACCCCGATCAAAAGTGTTTTACATGAGATTACCAAATTATGAGATGACACTCATTTGAATATTTTAAATTGGTGTCTTCCTTGAGATATTTGTTTCTCAAATACTTTGACCACGCGATTTCCATGTACATTCAATGTCCGATAATATTTCAGTGTAAAATGGTTAAGTCATAAGGTACTAATTCTCAATTTTTATATAATTATCATTTAAGGACTCTTTCTAATATTGTCAATAATCTCCATAGTTTCTTAGAACAAAGTAACTTCAAAATAATTTTACTTACAATACCTGGATATAATTTAGCATAAGACACAAATGCTTTTAATTCAAAATGGAGTTTCAATGCCCAAAAGGTTATTTTGATTATTTCAGAATATTTTCCTTTCCTTAATGAGCACCAGGTTCTTAAAAAGATAAATGCCAAGATCCCACTAGTTTAAGTCTTGTCAACAATCAGAAAGGAAACTAATCACATATTTCAAGATCCTAAGTGTAACGATTTCATATGAGTATGTTTTACCCAAGAAAATGACTAAATCTAAGTTAGCTATGGCCTCGGATTTATGGGCCCTTTTGGAATAAGTGGGAAAGAAAAACACCAATAGCATGGTTTAGGCTCAAAGGCAGAATTTAGTAACATCTAGGTACGAAAAAGAAAACAAAGAACCAAAGCAGTAAAGGAAGCCGGTGCACTCCACAACTGGGAAGTGTGGGTTCAGGCTTAGGAGTGAACACCCTTCTCTACATGAAGAAAAAGTAATGTTCGTGTATTAGTGTAGGGCGGGTTGAACTCGCAGCAGATAGGAAGTCGTCACGGCGATCATTTGCAGGCTCAAAGAGTACGGCAAGTCCAGCTCACACTGTAATTTCAACACATGATTTAGAAACAGGACCCCGAGTTTTAAAAAGTAGGCTCTCTAAGCCAAGACCATCAATTTCAACAACACACCATGATAACACTTCGGGATTCCCTGCATGAAATTTGATACCTTCATTTTGTTTCAAGGAAAACAAATTTAGGAGTGACTGATACCTTGAGCACGTACTTTTTATACCTCAAAATATATACATTTTGATATACGTGTGTGTGTGTGTGTCCATGTGATAAACCTTAGAGAGGTGATTTTGTGACATAAATACCAATAGAAAATTCAAGTGTCAGTCCCAAAATACATTTCACTGGTATTTACCAGTGTGGCCAGCTTGTATATGTGCAGAGGAAGAAAAGTTTTGTTTCTGTTAATGGGTCCTTTGGCTCAAAAATGGAAACCAAGTGAGGTTATTCTAGCTTTAAAGTCACAACATATGATGCAGCCCAGGTTCACAAGGTGAAAGAAACTTTTCATCTGGACCAAATTCTGGAAAAAACTTTTAAAGTCAAGTTTTAGCCACTGCTGTATTAGGAATGAGCGTTAAGAAGTTTTATTACCATTACCACTGAAGATTAGACAGAAAATATCTCATTTGTTCATACTTGCTAACAGCATCCAGGCACGGTGGCTCACACCAGTAATCTCAGTACTTTGGGAGGCTGAGGTGGGAGGATTACTTGAGCCCAGGAGTTCAACCACCACCCCTGCGCAACATAGTAAAACCCCATCTCAAATATTAAAAAAAAAAAAAATTTAATGGATGTCTGACAAAACCCTGGATGTCACTCCTTCAATATGATATTAAATCTGTCTGCTTACAGAGAATAATTTGCGTGAGCTCTAACAAACATCTAGCTAATTAAGACAGTGAACGGAGTAGGTGGTCCCACATTTAGGCATCCAGCTAATCCCTCATTAGAAGGATCCTGCCTTTGATGAGCAACATGACAGCCTGCAGGTAGCAGGGGGCAGCATTTTATACTCAAGTATTTACATGCACAGCCAAATTAGTTGACTGATAGCTGAGTCTAAAAACGAAGCAGAAATCTTCCTCAATGGGAAATTCCCTCGCCTAAAGAAAAAAAAAAAAATTCCCTTTCCTAACCCTTCGCAACACTTGCACATAATGATCACCATGCTGAAGGCATTTCCGATCGTTTTTACCAAATCAGAGCCATCGAGCTGCTAACTCCAAAGAGCCATAAAACACCTGGCCCTTCCTGCTCAGTCTACGTTGAACACAAATAGAAATGAATTCCTCCCTTGTCTCTACTGGTTAGCATTCAGGACTGCTGGGTTCCAGGCCTCTTGATCTGCTAGCAGAAGCTTTGGGTGAAGAGATGACTTCCCCCTGGATACTGAGATGCTGATCTCCACAGAGAGGGGTCCACAAGCTACAGCTTTCAATCTACAAAGTTCTTCAGGTTCAGAAAGCTGGTTAAACAAAGGTCAAGGAGAGAAGAGTGTTAGTTTCTGAGGAGGCAACATTCTAATCCTTGCACCTCCCTAAAAAAAACGGCAGGGGCAGGTTGAGACAAGGGGCACAGGGGGTACAGGACACTGGTGCAACAATTACACACAATGCGTTGCCAAATCTTCCTGTGGCCTGGGGCATCTGATTTGCCTAAATTTCACCTAAGCTGTGGCTAATCTGGAGAATGTTAGGGTGATAGCACTTTGAACGAACTGGATTACCTAATGTAGGAGTCAGCACTTTTTTTTCTGGAAAAGGCCAAAGAGTAAATATGTACAGTCTTGCGAGCTAAATGATCTCCACCTCAATTGGGCAACTCTTCTGGTAACACGCAAACAGCCATGTTATTTTGGAATAACCGAATACACACACACAGTTACAGGAATGGGAATAAATGGACAATTCTACTTACAAATTCAGGCAGTGGGTCAGAGTCAGCCCAGAGACTGTAGTGTGTTCACCCCCAATCTACACAGCTGAATCCAGCTGACAGTGCTAACACCTGCCTATAAACCTTAACTGTAAAAGCAAGGATTTCACGAACCCAAGTGCTTTATTCTGACATTTCCTTCAATCTTTTCATCGGTCAGAATCACTGATTTTTTGAGATGAATTAACAATCTCTCCAGTTGCCTTAGCAGAATCAATTATCAAAAACTCAAAGTACAGCTCTGTTGCATTAACAGCCAGGGAGAGGAAAATTATAGCAAGATGGAGTTTGCTTAGAGGCCACTTCAAAGGGGGCATGGCACTAGTGCGACCCTGAAGAATGTCAAGCGAGGGATGCCCCCTTCCGTATCAGTGAGATCCTCACCAATGGCAATTCCAACAAAGCAGTGCCTTGTGGGGCATTAAAAAAAAAAGAACCGCGGAAATGCTATTTGTAAATCGGCCTTTACAAGGCAAACTAGGTATCTGTTTTTATTTGTGGAGTCACCACTTTCAAAATAAATCCAGTTATGTTTTGTTTCAGCCCACTCTGCCTTAGAGAAAACGGACATTCACAAGGTTAACGATTTCACAGTTTATCCAAAGCGAATAGGCTGCCTTGAGTGGCCAAAGGAAAGGGAACACCAGCACCATGAAAGCTTCGATAGAAGATGACTCTTGAATGCCCCAGAAATCTTGGAAATAGAGATGCCCAAATTCACTCGCTCGGCATTCAGCTATTTCATTTGAAATGAGCAGAACTAAAGTCGTGATAGCAATTTATAAATTGGCATGTTTCACAGCTTAGCAGCAGGACTTTATCTAGAAGCCACAGCCTACCTGGGCAAGGACACTTTCTAAGGCAGCCACTCAGGATGTAAAAGCTAACTTAGCAAAGCCATGGGCCTATCTTCAGCCTCCTTTCTTCAGGCCTGATTCCACTGCTGCAGAGTGAAAGTGATTTGTGAGTTTGTGATTGCCTAGATTTGCAGTACAACATTATTTCAAAAATTCAGAAAGAAAATCTTCGGCACTCACCTAGACTTATGCTTCCCAAGAGTGGAGGGGAAATGGGGTGAGGTGGCGGTGTTAAAGACCATTTCTGAGGAAGGTGACCGCTGGGGAAAGAGCTGTGGGAACTTGAATGGGAAAGGCTGGTCTCCCTAAGACCTTGCGTGACATCTGTGACGTCCTGAGCATTACAATTTGCCAAGAGCTCCAATGGGACCACAGACACCTCCTGCAGTGTCCGCAAAATGAATGATGAGTATCAGGAAGGAAGAGTCTTAGAGGGAAGTGGGAGCTGCAAAGAGGCACAGAGAGTTTTTGGCTTTACTCCAAGATGCAAGGGCCATTCTCAACAACCACAAATTTATCCTCAATGCTTCAGAATCTCCTCCTCTCCATCACGACTTCAATATCTAACTAGACATCACCCTTTTCATATGCTGAACCCATTCTATCAGTCCTGGATTACCATGTTGTGGGTCTGCTGTTGCAAATCTTTGAAAGAGCATTAGCTCTCTTTAAGGGTCTGCTGTCTGATGTCAGGTGGAGCAGTTCGACCACTTAACACACAAAAATAATCAGCAGTCACATATCTTACTCATTAGGGAAAAATAGTCTAGCTGGAAGATTAAGAGAATAAGATCTTTTAATCTTCTGGTTAACTCGTTAAGTTTTTAAAAAGGTATTTTGAAGCCCTTAAATCCTTTTTTTCTTGGTAATTCCACAACTGTATGGCTCCACACATCCACCGAACAGTAGTTAATGTGATGAACACCATGTACCGCTTCCTGGATGGGGGATCCCACCATTGTTTTTAGTATTACGCCATCAGTTTTGACTTCCATGACAGTGATGTAAACTTACTCCAATGCAGAAGTTCAGACAAGTGGACTGAACATATTCGGAGCCCAGGGTGAGGATTTGATTTTAAATAAATCCCTTTCAATTCTTAAAAAGCATTCCAATTTGCCTATTTACCTTCATAGGCAAGTACGGTCAAAAATGCTGCACTCGGACTGCAGCCTGTTAGCTTCTAGACCTTGGACGAGACGGTAACTGACCCCTGAACACAACGTATTTTCACCTCCTGTGCTTCCCTAATCATGCTAGACAGCATTTCTGTAACTTCCAGGAAGTGTTCTAAATTAAGAAAGAAGTGGAGATGGTTAATGGGTACAAAAACATCGAAATTATAAGACCTACTATTTGATAGCACAACAAGGTGGCTATAGTCAATAACTTAGTTGTACATTTTAAAATAACTGAAAGAGTGTAATTGAATAGTTTATAACTCAAAGGATAAATTCTTGAGGGGATGGATAAATACCGCCCTCACTAGGATGTGATTATTTTACATTACGTGCCTGTATCAAAACATTTCATGAACCCCATAAATATGTACACCTTTATGTACACCATAAGGACAGAGAGAACCTGACAGAAGACAGCCCAATGCAATGTTTTATCTGTCAGCAAATCCAAAGATGCATACATGTACTCAAAGCGGTTGGTTCTCTCTGATTCAGAAACTTATGTAAATAGACCAAAGCAAAATAAGAATAAAATCCTAGGAAGAGTTACGGTCTGCTTCTGCCTTGCTCCTGTTTCCTTAACAGCCCACCATATCGGAGCATGGACACCCTCTCAAGCCATCTACCCACGATGGTCCCTGTGGGTAAACAATGGCAATTAAGAGGGTTAATTTAGAGGTGAAGACAGGAACTCATTCTCCGATTTTATAAGGAAATAAGATCCAGTGCCCAGAAGAAAATGATATGCTCAGTGACCAGTCGAAACCTGTAGTATCCCTTTGTTCCCAAGTCATAAGACCTTGTTGTTCCCCATATTCTATTACCAACCAATTTCGGTTTGAATAACCCAGGTAATTGAAATATGTCCGCACGCCATGCAGACCAGGTCAAAAACTCTTAGACGGAGCCTGTTGTCTCTTCTCCCTGAATACCAAAATAGCCGCAGTCTTGTGCCGAGCGTTCAGCTTTCAGAGACTTCAAGGTCAGCCCCTACAGAGCCTTCCATGACGACATTAGGATTTAAACAAGGTGGTGATTGTAATGAAATGATAGCTGAAAAGGATAAGATTCATGTTTAAATCAGAGAACCACTACACAAAATTCCACTGTAGTTAGAGTTAAGTGGGTATCATTATAGCAGTCCCACAAATAAACAGAGTAAGTTGACTGCCTACCTATTCCCGAATTAGCTCCGGTGACCACCACCACTTTGCCAGTGAAATCCCGGCCCTGGAGAACTTCCATGGCAGTGGTGCTGCCGTCGTATCTCTGCCGGGTCGTTGGCTTGGTCGGATTATCATCCACAGTAAACGCCAGTCTCGGGTCCAAGTAGGTAGTCCTTTTATTTATATGGCTGCCCAGAAAAGGAGAAAGCAATGAATCCACAGCAATGAACACTGGCATTTATAAATATAAGATACTCTTACAGTTTAGGCAAACCCCATTTTTCATGGATCAAAACGCTTATTTTTTAAACCTGAAAAGAACTGGGGCCCATTTAATCTACCTTCTGGCCTCCAGAAGGATTATATTTCTGCCAGGAAAGATAGTCATCAAACCCTTTCCTCCAAAACTGCCTATAAAATACGCCGTAACATATAATAACTATTGCTGTGTATCCTTAGATCTCAAAAAAGGCTTCTTGAGAAGGCTTTGGGTCTTAATCTAACTCATGTAAACATAGCTATGAGATCTGTCAGCCACTCTTTTCAGTAGATTTCAATTAAAACTCTTAGCCCTGTGCAAGGGCCTAAAGACGTAGAGAAGGAGAAAACTCAAAATGATGAAGTCTTTGTTGTAAATAAGAAATTGCCAACTAATAAAATTCTAACAATCTTCATTTTAAGACTGCACTCACACCTCCTACCAGCACTCTCATTTTGATTTGGAATTGATCTAAATCTTGTGGAAACAGTATTAAAATATATTGGAAGCTGGGCACAGTGGCTCACACCTGTAATCTCAGCAATTTGGGAGGCCAAGGCAAGAGGATCACTTGAGGCCAGGAGTTCAAGACCAGCCTGGACAACATAGTTAGACCTCGTCTCTACAAAAACCAAGCAACATTTCGATGTGATAGCACACGCCTATAGTCCCAGCTACTCGGGAGGCTGAGGTGGAAAGATGATCACATGAGCCCAAAAAGCTGCAGTTAGCCATGATTGTGCCACTGTACTCTAGCCTGGGTAGATATTGGAATTTATTCTAAAGACAGAATCAGAGAGGTGAAAAAGTCTTACAGATAAGGATGCTCAATACATAATTTATAATTATAGGTTCTTAATAGGAATTTAACATCATCAATGTCCAATAGGCAATTGGATAAATTATAATATATCTGTACAAAATAACTCTAGAGCCGCTAAATAGCGTCTGTTTGAAAAACAGATACGGATATGACAAAATGCTCACAGTATAGTATGTGGGAAAGCACGTTGCTCAACAGTCCACACAGTACATCCCCTACTTTTTTTTTAAGGATGCATGTGCATAGAAAATAGAAGAATAAATCCAGAGTTGTTAAAAGTAGTTACTTCTGCTAAGATTACAGGTATATACTATTATACTTTGCATTATTCTACAGTTATTTATTACTTTTATAATTAAAAATTCCTATTAAAAAGCAGAAGAGCTGAGAGTGGTTTCTTTGTATACACTTACTCAACAAAAAACACTTGTCCATTCTCATCAGTTTCTTGTTCCCATCCATATGGCAAATCTGAAACACAAGAAAGACAGGTCGACAGGTGCCGGGGCGAAGTGAAGATGGTCCCCGGGTCAGGAAGGGGAGGAGCTCTCCCGGCCCCCACCCCCCAAGCCTGTCCCTCCCACCCACCAGTTGTCACTTCAACTGGATTTGGTCACATGTTCCAATTGTGGCAGCTGCAGAAGGCCCCTGATCCCACCTGGGCTCCACTTTTTTGCCTCCTGCTTTGAAGAAAACCTATTTTATTCCTGATCACTCTATGAACCTTACTGGTTGTGTCAATCAATGGGAATTCTCCCTTGAATGAGCTCACATAATGTATATGTAGAGCAGGCACCCAACGTCATTCATACACTGACTTGTGATGCCTTGTATGGTATTAGAGGGCAGTGCCATTTTTTTTCATGGGCACAGGTTAACTCTTCAACTAGACTCTAAACCTATTAAGGGCTCGAACCTTCTCCTACTTTTTTTTTTGAGACGGGGTCGCATTATGCTGTCCAGGCCCATCTTGGATTCTTGGGGGCAGGTGATCCTCCCACCTCTGCTGCCCAAAGTGCTGGGATCACAGGCACAAGCCACCAGGCCTGGCCCCCTCTTATACTTCCATTCTGTGCATCACACCCTAGCTCAGAATCACCTAGAAGTCATGATGATCTTTACGAAATTCCCAAAATATTTATATATTTACTTCCAAGATAGAGCCAAGAGCAATGTATACCCAACCGCAACTATAGGAAAACATCATAAACTGTGAATCAAAGGCCTCGATTATTTTGATACTTTGTGTTTTTTGATGTTGTTGTTGCTATTTTTGAGACTGCATCTCGCTGTCACCCAGGCTGGAGTGCAGTGGTGTGATCTTGGCTCACTGCAACCTCCACCTCCTGGGTTCAAGAACTTCTCGTGCCTCAGCCTCCAAAGTAGCTGGAATTACAGGCACGCACCCCCAGGCCTGGCTAATTTTCATATTCTCAGAAGAGACAAGGTTTCAACATGTTGGCCAGGCTGGTCTCGAACTCCTGACATCAAGCGATCTGCCCACCTCGGCCTCCCAATGCGGCAGGATTACAGGCATGAGCCACCGTGTCCGGCCATTTTGATCCTTTAACACCAGTAAGAAACCAGGAGGCAGAGGTTGCGGTGAGCCGAGATCGCGCCATTGCACTCCAGCCTGGGTAACAAGAGCGAAACGCCGTCTCAAAAAAAAAAAAAAAGAAATCATCCTCAGTCTATGCTACAATGTCATCATCGTCTTCTGCCAAATCAGGTAAGCTCCTCAGAGTAAGAGTCTGGTTCTCTACCAGAGAGCCCTCCCAGAGACACAATAACCTGTCACCTCTCTGCCTGTGACATTTTCCCCATCTACTTAATGCTTTAATCCAATATCCTTTGACAGCAACATACAAACCTCCTGCCACTCGTTTTCTTTTTCCAGTTTTTGGATGTTCCCACTGAGTCTTCTCCTCGGTGTGACTGTTAAGAACAAAAAATCCACAGTAATAAATAAAAATGAACTCTTCTAGAAAGTCATCAATTGTATTAAATTTTTTCTCTCCCAGATAATACTCTCTCAAGAGTAGTATTCAGAGAAGGATATGTGCAGAATACAAATGTCACTGTTTGCATCAGGTCAGATTCCCCAGGTCAGAAGCAGCAGCAGTCCTGTGGAAACTCCCAACAGCCTGCCTTTAGAAGCCAGGTGTAAGGAGGAAGTGCAGGAAAGAGGAGAAAGAGGACTATGATCCCTAAAGACGGGGGTCTTTAGGAAGCTGGCTGAATCACTCAAAATATCTGGAGGCATTTTGCTTGGTATTTGTTTTAATTTAATTCTAATAATTTATATAATCTCTTAAATGTTTACTTATTTATTTGTATTTCTTTTTAAAGAATCAGGGTCTTACTATGTTGTCCAGGCTGGAATGGAACTCCTGGACTCAAATGATCCTCCTATATCACCCTCTTGAGTGGCTGGGACTAGAAGCACATGCTACCTTGCCCAGCTAAAATGTTCTTTTTTTGTTTTATAGATATATAGATATATCTATATATATATTATTGTACTTTAGGTTCTGGGGTACATGTGCAGAACATGCAGGATTGTTGCAGAGGTACATACATGGCAATGTGGTTTGCTGCCTCCACCCCCCTCACCTATATCTGGCATTTCTCCCCAAGTTATCCCTCCCCAACCTCCCTACCCACTCCTGTCCCTCCCTTATTCCCCCCAACAGACCCCAGGGTGTGATGCTCCTCTCCCTGTGTCCATGCGTTCTCATTGTTCAATACCCACCTATGAGTGAGAACATGCGGTGTTTGATTTTCTGTTCTTGTGTCAGTTTGCTGAGAATGATGGTCTCCAGTAAGTCAGCCCCATAGGTCACCTAGCTGTGTGCTGTGCACCTGTGGTCAAGTGACCCAACTCCTTCATCTCCATTCCCTTCTCTGCAAAATGGAAATGATTCTAGCACTGATTGTGGGGTCTGCAATAAGAATATTGCATATCCAGTGTTTCACATGGCGCCTGGCATACGAAAAGCTCTGGGAAATGTAAGCTATTATTTTGAACAAATCAGTTACACAAACTAGCCTGATTATTGTATCAAACTTAACATTTCATCTCAGACCACCACCCAAAGTTGTAATTAAAACAGTAGGCCAATAACTAGAAACACCTGTCACCAGGTAATAAGGTATCCAGGAAAACATACAATTATTTCATCAGGGAAAGAGCCAGGTGCTCCAGAGGCACTGGAAGGGTAGGCTGGGTTTCCTAAAAGTTTATCTACTCACGCAAAAACAGAAAGTTACATTACTTAATCAGCAACATCTAGATGATAAGACATGAACATTCTTTCCCTATCAATTATTTTAAAGCAAATAAATAGACCAGGCACAGTGGCTCATGTCTGCAATCCTAGCACTTTGGGAGGCCAAAGCGGGCAGATCATGAGGTCAAGAGATCGAGACCATCCTGACCAATATGGTGAAACCCCATCTCTACTGAAAATACAAAAATCAGCTGGGCGTGGTGGCACATGCTTGTAATCCCAGCTACTCTGGATGCTGAGGTATCCAGAGGAGAGTTGCTGGAACCCAGGAAGCAGAGGCTGGCTGCAGTGAGCCGAGATCGTGCCACTGCACTCCAGCCTGGGCGACAGAGTGAGACTCTGTCTAAAAAAAAAAAAGAGAAATACAGAGAGCATGAATTTTCTAAAAAATCTGACAACCTGCAAGCAGGGTCTTTTCATGAATTGCTGGATTCTGATCTGGTTGTCAGACAAAGTCTCCGCACCTGGGTCTCTGTCATGGTGCAGGTATGAATGCCTGGCTCAGGACACAGAAGACCAGAACCTCCCATGCTAGCTGTGCCCAGACAGTCTCCTCAGCACTACTGCCATCTCACCGAGCTGCTGAAAAGGCGAGACACATGACACCTGTGACACTGCCTGGAGAACGATTAAATCCTTGTACCAGCTTAGATATCAGCAGCAAAGACAAACTCCTACTTTGTACGTCAACCACCATCCAATATCACTTGCAAAAAAAGCAGCTCTCTCTGGTAAGGGTAACCCACTCTCCGCTGGCACAGTGGGAGTACTGGTATATCAACTCCTGCTTTTCCTCACAATGGAAGGGAACGGCAATCAGATAAACCAAGCTGGCAATAACAAGACAGCTTCCTGCCCCTTTCAGGGCTGTGTCTCATGCTCCTTCAAGAAAGTTAAGAGATGGAGCTGCATTTTCCTTGCCTGACATTCAAAGCAGTCTTCATCTCAGCCAAGTACAGTGGCTCATGCCTGTAATCCGAGCACTTTAAGAGGCCGAGGAGGGCAGATCACGTGGGGTCAGGAGTTCGAGACCAGCCTGGCCAAAATGGTGAAACCCCGTCTCTAATAAAAATACAAAAATTAGCCAGGTGTGGCAGCAGGCACCTGTAATCCCAGCTTCTCGGGAGGCTGAGGCAGGAGACCCACTTGAACGTGGGAGGCAGAGGTTGCAGTGAGCAACGATCGTGCCATTGCACTCCAGCCTAGGAGGCAACAGCAAGACTTCGTCTCAAAAAAAAAGTAGTCTTCATCTCATAGGTACACATCAAATAAGCTTGAAGCCTGGCTCCAAAAATCTCTGCCCTCAAGAATCCATGAAGTGGCCAGGAGCTGTGGCTCACACCTGTAATCCTAGCACTCTGGGAGGCTGAAGCGGGCAGATCACTTGAGTCCAGGGATTCAAGACCACTCTGGCCAACATGGCAAAATCCCATCTCTACTAAAAATACAAAAATTGGACAGATGTGGTGGCACATGCCTGTAATCTCAGCTACTTGAGTGGCTGAGGCATGAGAATTTCCTGAACCTGGGAGGTTGAGGTTACAGTGAGACAAGATCACGCCACTGCACTCCAGTGTGGGTGACAGAGCAAGAGTCTGCCTCAAAAAAAAAAAAAAAAGAAATCCATGAAATGACCCTTAAAAGTGGAAGCTGAGCCCTGATGGCAAGGCATGCCAGTGCAGAAAGAGCCTCCTGGCCCTTCATAGGTGAAGCTGGGCCCTGACACACCCAGCCTCATGCCTGGCCCACAGCAGGTGCACAAATGTAAACACAGAATGAATGCTTTCCAGAGGAGTTACAAAACTCACTCAGAACATTTTCTATCTATTCAGAAAGACATTTGAAAACCAAAACAAACTCTGTCAACCTATGTTCTTGACTTTCACAGAACATGCCTAGACCAGAGTTTCTTTATTTTCTGACATGGAGTCTCGCTCTGTCAACCAGCTGGAGTGCAGTGGTGCAATCTCGGCTCACTGCAACCCCCGCCTCCAGGTTCAAGTGATTGTCCTGCCTCAGCCTCCCAAGTAGCTGGGACTACAGGCGTCTGCTACCACGCCTGGCTAATTTTTGTATTTTTAGTAGGGACAGGGTTTCACCATATTGGCCAAGCTGGTCTTGAACTCCTGAACTTGTGATCCACCCACCTCGGCCTCCCAAAGCACTGGTTGCAGGGATTACAGGCATGAGCCACTGCACCCAGCCCTAAACCAGGGTTTCTTATCCTCACTGCTAGTGGCACTTGGAGTTGGATCATTCTTTGTTTGTTTTTTTGAGACAGAGTCTCGCTCTGTCCCCCAGGCTGGAGTGCAGTGGTTCAATCTCAGCTCATTGCAACCTCTGCCTCCAGGGTTCAAGCTATTCTCCTGCCTCAGCCTCCTGAGTAGCTGGGATTACAGGTGCCTGCCACCATGCCTGGCTAATTTTCTTGTTTTTTGTAGAGACAGGGTTTCACCATGTTGTCCAGGCAGGTCTCGAACTCCTGACTTCAAGTGATCCACCTGCCTCGGCCTCCCAGATTACAGGCATGAGTCACCACGACCGGCCTGAATCAGTCTTTGTTGTGGGGCTGTTGTGGGCATCACTGGCCTGTGCCCACTAGATACCAATACCCCAGTCCCACAGTTGTGGCCACAGAAAGCATCTCCAGACGTTACCAACTGTCCCCTGCAGAACACAACCATCCCTGGGGAAGAACCCGAAACCAGCTGAAGTGCAGAGAGTAACCTGGTCGTTAGGATTCTAGAGCCCAACTGCCCAAGTTTGCTGCGTCTCCCATGTGCCAGCTGCCCTGCCCTTGAATAAGTCATTTTATCCCCTGTGCCTCAATTTCCTCACCAGTTAAGATGGGGACAAGCAACAGTACTTACTTCTTGGGTTACAGAGGACCGAGTGAGTTAACATGGGAAGAACCAAGAACAGTGGATTTCAATAGAAGATTTTAAATAAATATAAAAATTAATTAAAAGGTGTTCTTTTTAATTATAATCTTAAATGACTTTTTAATGAAGAGAAAATTAGAACACATGTCAACTAAGTGTTCTCTTATTCTCTTTTAAATAGAAGCTGTCTTTTATGTTTTATTCTTTCAATAAGCTTGTCATTTAAAATGATAATTAATAGTAATCTAAACTTAAACCAAAGGATTCAAAATTAAATGGACACCATATTACGTGAATACCACACTTACGAATGGGGTGTTTTCTTTCTTTTTTTTAGACAGGGTCTTGTTAGGTGACTCAGGCTAGAGTACAGTGGTTCAGTCATAGCTCACTGCAGCCTCGAACTCCTGGACTCAAGCTATCCTACCTTGGTTTGCCACCATGCCCAGTCTATGGGTGGGTGGGTGTGTGCGCGTGCAGGCATGCGTGTTCTGAGCACGGTGTAAGTTAGCAGAGAGAACCAGAGCTGACGGTGAGGATGGCCAGCCCCATGGACGCTGGAGCCACTGAGGACTCTGAATGCCCAAAGGCCTGAGCTTCCTAAGAAAAGGGGGACAGGGGAGGGTAGACAAGGACGGCTTGGACCCTGAGACCTCATCCCTCAGTCCCCATCTCCCATGAAGCAGCTGCAGAGACTCTTAGGGGAGAAGGAGACAAGAAAGGCCCACCGGCCCTCTCGGGGTCCCTGTCTCCCCTGAAACTGTCCCTGGGAGCCCAGCCTGGTGGGCTTTGGAGCTCCAAGACACATGTGCCTTTGAGGCCTACAAGTGTACCACGAGCACAGGGGCAAGCAGGAGAGGCCCACAGCACCCACTCAAGACAGGGCTTCCACCAGACCCCAAGGTGTCAGTGGGAGCTCCAGCCTCTATCCCTGGGGAGACCATATGGAAAAAGAAATGACTCAAAGAGTGGCCCCCTAGAAAGCACACCTGCAAAGTTTCCCAAACCCCAAGAGAAAAACAAGCGTCACTTCCAGAGTCAGAAATGAAAAGGGGTTGGAGCCAGCATAAACATTTACAAAGAAAAGAAAATAAAAGAAGGGCCAGGACGCTCACAGTCAGAAGAGATCAAGGGAATGTGGGGTTCAGATGGATCAGAGGCCTCCTGACACCCAAAGAACTCCAGCTTTTCAGCCTGGACACCCTGAGAACTGAGGGCTGGCAGGGATGGCCAGAAGGTCCAGAGAGATGAGTCCTCCAGCTGGGAGCCAGCCAAGCCCAGGCATCTCAGGTGGTGTAAACACTACAGAGCTAATGCTGATAATACAGAGCTAACGCACCAAGGTGCAGGGCTGATACCTTGGTGATGGGTTGAGAAGTGCAGCAAGCCGCCATGGCACGTTTATCCGTGTAACAAACCTGCACGTCCGGCACGTGTATCCCAGAATTTTAAATTATAAAAACAAACCGTGGAGCCAGAGAGGCCAGCTGGAGACATAAGACACTGGTTGGGCGGCTGGAGGAAGGGCTTTTGGAAACCATGTACGTGCCGAGTCCCCTGGCCATGGGCCACTCATGAAGAAAGCAGACGGGAGAAAGGCCACGCAGCATGACGGCAGGCACAGGGGCACGCAGGGCGCACGGTAGCAAGGGAGCCCCATGGCCCTAGCGCCAGGCTCCAGGACAAGCCTGCAGGGAAGCAGAAGCGCCTCTGGGTCTGAGTGACAAAGGAAGAGACACGTCACAGAGCCGGAGGCAGAGGTGGGCTCAGGAAGCCAGGAGCAGGTCACCTGCATCTTGGTACTCTGGGCCCAGTGCGCCATCCACCCATAGAAGCCCGTGGCTGACCTTCTCTGGATGATTATTTACTCATCCCTCCCGTGTGGGTTCATCTTACAGCTTCCAGTGGTAAGCACTGGGGACACGCAGGTGGACAAGCTACCCTCATGGAGTTTGCAGTCTGGGTGAGGGAAACAGAGCCAACAACGAGGAGGACGAGCCAAGGCTAAGCGCAAAGCAGCAGAGAAATCAGGTGACAGGTAGAAGGTAGAGGGGACAGCCACAGTCAGGAAGATCTCTTGCACAGTGACACGTAAGCTTATCTCTGAAAGATGAAAAGGAGCCCTTCCCCCACAGATGGACAGGTGAGAGGGACAGCAAGTGCCCGCTCAGGAGCCGGCCTTGACCCCTGCGGCGGTTAATGGTTCTCTGCTGCTGCTGGAAATGTCCCTGTCATTCTCCAGAGCCAGAAATCCTCCCTGCAGTCACAAGCCTAATGCCACTCTGGCTCTGTCAACAAAGGCCAAGCTTCTCAGCAAGGCAGAGAACTCCGGTAACTGGGTCCTTCCTTCCCTGCCTCAACCTTCACATTCCTGGACCTCACAAAGATCACAAGTCCAGCTGGGGGCGGCAGCTCACACCTGTAATCCCAGCACTTTGGGAAGGCAAGGTGGGGAGATCATGAGGTCAAGAGATGGAGACCATTCTGGCCAACATGGTGAAACCATCTCTACTAAGAAACAAAAAGTAGCTGGGCATGGTGGTACGTGCCTGTAGTTCCAGCTACTTGGGAGGCTGAGGCAGGAGAATCGCTTAAAAGCGGAGGTTGTAGTGAGTCGAGATCACGCCAGTCTGGTGACAGAGCTAGACTCTATCTCAAAAAATAAAACAAACAAACAAACAAAATCACAGGTCCCTGTACAGGCCATGCTGGGGGTCTCTCCTCTCACTGTTCCCTCTGCCTGGACTGCCCTCCTGTCCCCCCCCAACTTCTACCTGTACTCAAAACACTGCTCTGGGCTTGGAGCCAAGCCTCATGCCTATGATTTCACAGCTTTGGGAGGAAGGCTTCAGTCCACAAGTTCAAACCAGCCTCGGCAACATAGTGAGACCCCATCTCTACAAAACAGGTAATAATTAGCTGGGCGTGGTGGCATACACCTGTGGTCCTGGAGACTCGAGAGGCTGAGGGAAGAGGATCGCTTGAGCCCAGGAAGTCAAGGTTACTGTGACCATGTCACTATACTTCCTAACGTTCCCACCAACTACCCACACACACCTCATGCCAGACACATTGCTTCCTGGGACACACACTGTGTGGGGATCCCCCCTACATGTCAGTGTGCCCTATAAGATTGGGTGCCAAGGATGACAACTGGCTCTTACTTGCCTTGGTATAACCAGTGCCAGCAAAAGGCCCGGCACATAACACCCTTGTGTGTCGTGAGTGAACTCATCAGAGCTTTACTGTTTTTCTTCTGCCTTGCCACCAAAGGTAGTAGCGGTTCACATTCTTGCACAGATTAGAATGTCCTGGAAGGGAAGAGTTTTACAACCTACCAAGGGAGAGGGGAGGGCACAAACCAATTAAATCAGAAATTCTGGGCCGGCGCAGTGGGTCACGCCTGTAATCCCAACACTTTGGGAAGCCGAGGTGGGCAGATCACTTGAGACCAGGGGTTTGAGACCAGCCTGGCCCACATGGTGAAACCCCGTCTCTACTAAAAACACAAAAATTAACCAGGCGCGGTGGCAGCTGCCTGTCATCCTAGCTACTTGGGAGGCTGAGCCACAAGGATCACTCGAACTCAGCATGCAGAGGTTGCAGTGAGCCAAGATCGCACCACTGCACTCCAGTCTGGGAGACCGAGCAAGACTCTGCCTCAAAAAAGAAAAACCCCTCTGGGAGCGGGGCCCAGGTGCTGAAAATCAGATTTACACCCATGTTTCTGAAAACCAAGTGATATTCCACCTTACCTGAAAAGCTTAACAGACATTCTCCCAAAGTTGAGAGTCGGCTACTATAGGTTCTATGGAGACCCAAAACGTGTACTTAGGACACTCCCCTTGTGATTCTAAGGTGCTGCTGTCAAGAGGCACTGTCATAGCTGAAGAGCAACCAGGACAGTTAAGGGACAGAGTGCCTACTAGACACGGTGCTATGTGCTTTATGCACAGTGCCTGAACTGACCCTCATATCAACCCATTTTACAGGTGAGAAAATTAAGATTCAACGTCCTTTCAATGGCCGAAGGTCACACAGTTAAAGACAAAGGCTCTCTGGGGTTCCCAAAACTTTCCCAGGAAACGGTAGTGAAACTATGTAGGACTTCTGCTAAAAAACACACCTGTAATCTCAATTCTGGAGGCTGAGGCAGGCGAACTGCTTGAGCCCAAGAGTTCGAGACCAGCCTGGGCAAGAAGGTGCGACCCTAGTCTCTACAAAAAAAGTTTAAAAATTAGCTGGGCATGGGGGTAGCGCACGCCTGTAGTCCCAGCCACTCAGGAGGCTGAGATGAGAGGATTGCCTGAACCGATGCTGCAGTGGGCCGTGATGGCACCACTGCACTCCAGCCTGGGTGACACAGCGATACTTGTCTGGAGAAAACAAAACAAAACTCCTAGTCATGCAACCCAGAGCCTGAAGGAGAAAGCTGAGTACGTGCACTTTAAACGTCTTTATTTTTTGGCGGTGATGAGGCCACTTTGCCCTCGCCGCTCCGCGCAGGGCTGCCTCCTGAACAGCAGAGGGCGCGCCGGGATGCCACCAGGTGACCCCCACTGGACCCGAGGCCCATAAAGACCCTGGACCCTTTCCCCTAAGCAGCTTAACAGTCATTTCCACTCTGCACCGCACTCGCTGCGCTGGAGCGCGCGCCCTCCCCGCGCAGGTGGTGTCCGAGGCCAGTGCAGGGTCCCAGGTGCGTCCCCGGCCCCACTGCAGCCCCCTTACTTGGCGTAGTAAACCCAGCCGTCCTTGGTGGTTCTCTCCTCCCAACCCGGGGGCAGCTCGTCCTCACTGTCCGTGTCATCCAGTCCCGCGTAGCGCAGCGCTGCCATGGCAGACGGAGGAGGCACCTGACCCGCTCGCTCGCTCGCTCGCTGCTGAGTCCGGTAGCCCAGGAACTCACTCCGACTCCAAACGAGCGCCACGCGCGTCGGGTCTCCACCACTCACGCCTGCGCACTGCGCCCTCCGGGGACCACTCCGCCGACCACGAAGCTAAACTCCAGTTTCCGCAGTATCCCGGCTGCAGGCGTCAAAGGGGCTGGGCCTGGAGAGCAAGGCGGTGAAAGCGCCTAAGAGGTCGCGCTGCCGCCGGGCTGGACAGTAAAGCCGGAGAGTGCTCCGATATGGAACGGAGCCTCGTCAACCTCCCAGCCGCAGGGAAGGGGCGTGCGCAGCTAGTTTCAGGACTCCGCCCGTTGCTGGGCGACCCGTAATCACTTCCTCGTTGTTCTAGCCAATCCCGCAGGAGCCCGGCAGTTGGGCATCGTGGGAAATGTAGTCCAGGCGGCGCCTGGTTGGAAAGCGCCGCCCATGCTGGTGTCCTGGGCTTCTGTCTCTCTTTGCCTTGGGGCCTCGTGAAAGTTCATGATCACAAACCTTCCAGAGCTTGCTAGCATTGGTGCTGATTCACAAACTTTGTTTTGCATATGAACACAATGTTATTTAACCTGGTGAACTTAAAAATGCTGATTCCTGATTTCCTGGTTTTAAAGAAGTTTCTTCCAGCCAAAACACAGTGTTGTTGATAAGACACTGACGTTAACAGAGCGCTTAACGTGGGGTCCAGGCCGGAAATGCAGAGACATATCATGTTCCTGACACCTTTGTGTAGTGGGCACAACTCAGAAAGGGGAGCTAGGACGGACTCAGTGGCTCTCGCCTGTAATTCAAACACATTAGGAGGCTGAGGCAGGAGGATCACTTCAGGCCAGGAGTTTGAGAACAGCCCGGGCAACACAGCAAGACCCCCGTCTCTACCAAAATAAAAAAATTAATTAATTTGCTAGGCATGGTGGCACATGTCTATAGTCCCAGTTACTCAGTGAGGCTAAGGTCAGAGATCGCTTGAGCCCAAGAAATGGAGGCTGCAGTGAGCCATGATCGGGCCACTCCAGCATGGGAGACAGAGAGAGATCCGGTCTTTTAAAAACTGCCTCACCTTTAGAGAATTTCCTCTAGTAAGTCTGCAATGGGTCCAGAATCTGCATTAAAAAGAAAAAAGAAAAGAAAAGAAAAGGTAGCTAACTACATGAGAAGGCACAGGAAGAGAGGAGAAGCAGGGGTCTCCTGGCCGTTGAGATCCTGTCACTGCATTACAGTTATTTACTCATCTGTGTAGTCCCCACGAAACTGACAAACCACACCTGGGCCTTCTTTCTATTGCCATCACTTGGTAAAATGCTTCAACCTACAAATTTATTAAATGAACAAATGAATGAATGATGTGATTCCTTAGGTTTGGTTCTCTGTGAATCAATCTAATTAAAAACCAAATTCTGGCCAGGCACAGTGGCTCACGCCTGTAATCCAAGAACTTTGGGAGGCCAAGGCAGGTGGATCATTAGGTAAAAAGATTGAGACCATCCCAGCCAATATGGTGAAAACCTGACTCTATTAAAAACACAAAAGTTAGCCTGGCATGGTGGCATGCTTCTGTAGTCCCAGGTACTCAGGAGGCTGACACAGGAGAATCTCTTGAACCCAGGAGGCAGAGGTTGCAGTGAGCCAAAGTTGCACCATTGCACTACAGCCTGGGCAACAAGAGTAAACTCCGTCTCAAAAAAGAAATCAATATTTACAAAGTAGACTCAAGTCTCTTGGACCACCAGTACGAATCCCATAAAAGTTCTGTATCGAAAAACCTCAAATGTGTCTTCAACTTGGCCCTGCCTAAGAAGTTTTCCAGAACATTCCCTCTTTGGCGCTTGCTCCCCAGCCATATGTTGCAGGGAAATTTACTGACCATGATTTCTCTGGCCTAGGTCCCAGAGAATGCAAGCCTCTATCAGAATAATTACATATATTTGATTCCGCTGAGACAGCAAAAGTATTAAAATGAAAAGACGAAATTTAAAAAGTATATATTTTAATGGGCAGTGTGTGGAAGGCGCAGCCGCTTTTTGTCTTCAAGTACTCAAATTGATGATTACTTAGGATTCCTGCTCTGGATACTCTTTACAGGAGATACTTGCATTTCTGTACTTGACCAACCAAAAACAAGATTAACAAAGCACTGTTTAGTTTCAACAGTCCTGCATACGATTTTTGAACCTATCATAAGATTTTTTCAAATCCACCTGTGTTTAAACCTGCTACCATTGGATTGGGTGTGGTGGCTCACAACTATAATCCCAGCACTATGGGAGGCTGAGGCAGGAGAATTGCTTGAGCCCAGAAGTTCATGACCAGCCTGAGCAACATAGTGAGACCTCCACTCCCACCCCCACCCCAATTCATCTCTACAAAAATTTAAAAGTTAGCCAGTGTCGTGGCACATGCCTGTACTGTGCTGGCGCATGCCTCCCCAACTACTGGGGAGGCTGAAGTGGGAGGATTACTAGAGCCTAGGAGTTCAAGGGTACAGTGAGCCATGGTTGCACCACTGCACTCCAGCCTGGTGACAGAGAGACATTCCGCGGCAAAAAAAAAAAAAAAGTTTGTTTTAAAAACCCCCACTAAAAAGTGGGCAAAGAACATGAACAGATGCTTCTCAAGACATATATGCAGCCAACAAACATGTGAAAGAAAACCTCAATATCACTGATCACTGAGAAATGCAAATCAAAACCAAATGAGATACCATCTCATGTCACACAGAAGGGCAATTATTAAAAAGTGAAAAAAAACCTGCAGATGCTGGCAAGATTGTGGAGGAAAAGGAACACTTTTACACCCTTTGTGGGAGTGTAAATTAGTTTAACCACTGAGGAAGACAGTGTGGCGATTCCTCAAAGACCTAGAGGCAGAAATACCATTTGACCCAGCAATTCTGTTACTGAGTATATACCCAAAGGAATATAAATCATTGTATTATAAAAATACATGAATGCATATGTTCATTTCAGCACTATTCACAATAACAAATACATAGAATTAACCTCATTGCCAATCGCTGATAGACTGGATAAAGAAAATGTGGTACATATACACCACAGAATACTATGCAGCTGGGAAAAGGAACAAGATTATGCCCTTTGCAGAGACATGGAAGCCGGAAGTCATTATCCTCAGCAACCTAACACAGGAACAGAAAACCAAACACCACATTGATATGGTTTGGCTGTGTCCCCACTCAAATCTCAACTTGAATTGTATCTCCCAGAATTCCCACTGAATCATGGGGGCTGGTCTTTCCCATGCTATTCTTGTGATAGTGAATAAGTCTCACGAGATCTGGTGGGTTTATCAGGGGTTTTCACTTTTGCTTCTTCCTCATTTTCTCTTGCCGCCACCAAGTAAGAAGTGTCTTTTGCCTCCTGCCATGATTCTGAGGCTTCCCCAGACATGTGGAACTGGAAGTCCCATTAAACCTCTTTTTCTTCCTAGTCTTGGGTATGTCTTTTTTTGGCAGCATGAAAACGGACTAATACACACATGTTCTCTAAGTGGGAGCTGAATGATGAGAACACATGGACACATAGAGGAGAATAACACACACTGGGGCCTGTCAGAAGGGGCATGTGGGGAGGGACAGCATCAGGAAGAATAGCTAATGGACTCCAGGCTTAATACCTGTGATGGGAAGATCGGTGTTAGCAAAACACCACGACACACATGGTTTTGTGAAAAAACCTGCAACCTACATAAGCAGAATATGTATAGAAAAAAGAATAAAAAAACAACAACAAGAAAAAACCCCCTGCACATCCTGCACATGCACCCCTGAACTTAAAAGTTGAAGATAAACAAAAGAATGGTTTGTATTTGAAAAGACAAATTAATCACATTATTAGCAAGGAGGTTTAAAAACAGCAATGTCTAGTTATGCAACTGCACACCAGAGGGCCCCATCCGCCTACGATTTTAAAGACTAAAGCACAGTAACTAACAAGGATTTTGACGTTTAAACTTTCTTTTCTTTTTGACTGATACTTCTGTGATAACTGACAATTTATTCACATAAGATCGATCCGTTTTTGCTGAACACAATTGGCGTTACCCAAAAGAAATATATGCAGGAGGTGCAAGGTTTTTGTTTGTTTGTTTAAGTTTTGTTTTGTTTGGAGACGGAGTCTCGCTCTGTCACCCAGGCTGGAGTGCAGTGGCACAATCTCGGCTCACTGCAACCTCCTCCTGCCGGGTTCAAGTGCACTCTGCCACGCCTGGCTAATTTTTTGTATTTTAGTAGAGTCGGAGTTTCATCGTGTTGCCCAGGCTGGTCTTGAACTCCTGAGCTCAGACACTTGACCTGCCTCGACCTCCCAAAGTGTTGGGATTACAGGTGTGAGCCACTGGGCCCGGACTAGGAGGCACAAATTTTAATGCATCATTCCTGGAGCCACATTTCATTAGTTGATTATCATTATCCTGAAGATGATCATTTCCCTCCCCTTTCAAACTCATCTTCACAAACACCCAGACAACTCTGCAAGCCCGATTTCACTTCAATTGCCATTCTTTGGGAAATTAAGCCTGATGTTTTGGTACTAAACTCAATGTGCTAACGAGATTTGGGAAGCATCCTGGCTCTTCTGATAATTTTCTCATTAGAAGATAACCAATAAGGTAGAATATTGAACAGCAGTCTCACGGAAAGCTCTCTTAATCAATGTATCCCTATTTAGGAGGGTGTGTTTGTATGTCATCTATTTATTCAAATACACAAATGAACAAAAATGCTATGTCTCTGATATATATAGAGAGAGACTCCTTATATCCAGAAATCACAGTGAATTAGCATAAGATCAGTAGTTAACCCAAAGAACTATGGAGTGAAGGTTCTAAGAGAAATTCAAACCAAGACCAGTTAGGTATGCAGAAACAGGGGAGAGTTCCCATGTTAGTTTCCTGTAATTTATCTTTCGAACCCAACTAATGTCACAAACCCTGTGACAGTGGCCAAATCCCTCAACTTCCTTAGTTTCACTGTCTGAAAAATGAAAATATTAATAATGCCTACCTTATAGCAGTGTTAAGATATTAAATAAGTCAACACATGTTATCATATACATGATGGGGTCTGATTAGGAAAATAAGCCAGTGTTAAAACTTCGATTTTTTTTTTAAAAGGCAGGGTCTTGCTCTGTTTCCCAGGCTGGAGTGCAGTGGTGCAGTCACAGCTCACTGAAACCTCAAACTCCTGGGCTCAAGCAATCCTCCTGACTTGGCCTCCCAAAGCACTGGAATTACAGGCAGGAGCCACCAACACCAGCGAACATTTGAAATTTGACAGAGGAAATTCACTACACTGGGTATGGAAGATCTGAGAAGACAAATTCGGGGTAATGATGTGAGTGAGAGATGAGCCACAGTGGAAAGTCCTTTCCAGGATGCAGGCTGGAGGGACGAAGGCAGGAGC